GATCAATTAATTGATCACAGAAAAAAGGAACACGTGTGCGGGCGCCCATGTGTGTGTGTGTGTGTGTGTGTGTGTGTGTGTGTGTGTGACCATATTTGCTACACAACTCGTCAGGAAGTTGAACCCACCCTATTCATTTGATTGATTGATTGATTGATTGATCGATTGATTCATGGGCGGAAAGGGTGCCCAGATTATTTGATCCCCCTTGTCCATTGATTTTTAGTTCCCCCCCCCCCCTTTTTTATACCAGAAAACCGTGAAATTTGGTAGGGACATACTCTATGTGCAAGGGAATCTCCCAATAACTTTTTTAGGTCTCTAAATTGGGTTTGACAGGCCCCGAGCTTGGAGGCCGCCGGGGTTCTGGCCTTCGGCTGAGGGGCTGAACTTTTGGCGTGGTAACGCTGCCCCATTGTAATATTAGAATTTTATTACTGTCTTACGATCCTGGCCGATTTTGGAGTGCAAATTCACAAGAAAATGCATTGTCGTCCAATTGCAAAAAGAAATGAATGAACTTGAGAGGAGAAAGAGATAAAGAATAATAATGATAATAATAATAAGAAAGAAAGAAAGAAAGAAGAAGAAGATGTACACCAGTAAAAGACCAATGACAATTCCCCCGTCTCTTGCCAACAAGCTCCTCCTTATCGCCCCCTCTTATTCAAACAGGAAAATAGTAATAATAATGATGAATGGCTGAACCAGAATCGAAGTCCGAATACCTGTTCTACTGCTTGGCATATCAAAGGTCCAGCATACCCATAGCCTCCTTCCTCCTCTTCAACCAGGCGAGGCTACGGTGGACTACTAGGGGCCTAGCCCTGACGTGCAAAAGACAACGCAAAGCAGCTATGTCCGCTGCTACTGAGGCCGCCATGCCTGACTCTTGTCTTGAAGCCTTCTTGGTGCGGCACAACCCCAACTGGGGCCATCCAGATGCAGCGCCTAACGTGGTGATGAAGATGGCTTCCACCATAGCCAGGTAAGTACCTTGCCCCTCTCCTTCCTAGTCCCCTCCTTCCTCCCCCTCAGGCTGGACTGCTCGTCATAGCCAGGCAGAGCGTCCGGCTCCTTCCTCCTCTCAGCGCTCTTCCTTCCAGCGGCACTCTGAGGACTAGCGTCTGCTCAAGCAGCATGACGCCAAAACTTGCATACCGCAAATGAGGAGCACTTCGCTCCTCCTGGAGATATAGCGGCCTACCTGCCTCTTGGGCGGTGACTTCCAGGCCGCACGGCCTCCAAGCAACCGGTACCTCCTCCCTTTCGGAGGAAAACATCATTGCAGGCTCTGATATTGTCTGCACAGGCTCTAGACTCAGGCTTTGGACTGGTACCTGCCTACCTCTAGGCCTACCGCTACTGGGCCTCTAAAAATGTCAACTTTTTGTCTTCGTCTGCTCGGCCTCCAGTTCCCGACGCATCTACCACTGCTCCAGTGGTACCGGGCTACCTGCTACTTGAGTGTTTTTTGCCCGCTGCTGTAAGTGTCGCGGGCCTACTCCCCACAACTTTAGCGGTTTCCCCGCTGCAACCCTCAAAATCACGGCCACAAGTACCGGCCCCCTTGGGCCTTCCAAACAAACAAGTGCCCTGGCGGGCCACACACACACTCAGACCGACAAGCACTCAGACAGGCACACGAACTACGGTAGGAAGCACGCACACACACAGAAAACTCCATAGAACTTGGGAATCTCAGCAAGGCATTCAATCCATCTGCAAAACTCAGAAATCAGCAGTGTTCTCAGTCTGTGTTTTGGCAGGTCATTACAACTGAGTCTAACTACAGGAGTGGAAAGGACAAGCACCACACTGGTACATCTTAGATTGAATTCAATTCGGGGATAATATTCTATGTCAACTCCTCCTCCCTCCCGGCCTCTTCCTTCCTGTCCTCCTTGTCCTTGGTTTCTTGATGCTGTATTTTGTTGGGTTCTTTTAAACATGTGTATACATTTTTCTCTTTTTGTTTCCTCATTTCAGGTACTTGTTGATCACGGTTGGATCGGTATACATAAAGTCGAAGGAGGCACCGGCAAAAGATGTTCTAAAAGACTTGGTGGAGATGAGCCGGGGTGTACAGCATCCGATCCGTGGCCTCTTCTTGAGAAGTTATTTAACCCAAATCAGCAGGGACAAGTTGCCGGATATCGGCTCAGAGTATGAGGGGTAAGTGTTTGGCAGTGACTCTTTGTGTCTATGCTCTACTTGCATCTGACCTCTGCTTTGACATGCACCAATATTCATAACCCAAGGAGCGCTAGCTATGATGAATTTCGGGCCAGTGGCAGTGTTGCATACCCCGACAGTTGGCGCCCCTTGACTGGTCAGATGCCGACCAGCCGACCGGTCGGCTGGTCGGCACCTACCGGTCGGGGTCGTCTGCACCCCGCAAAAAAAAAAAAAAAAAAGTTGTTTTTTTTTGGGTCCAGAACCTCGAATAACCCCACTGACACCCCCATACCCGGCCCCAATACCCCCA